TTGCCTACAGAGGGTGAAAAGTCAATAACAGTATATGTAAAACTTTTGGATGAAGCATTAAAAGATATAATAGTTTTAATCTGCTCCTGTTTTTTTGTTGTTTTGAATTTTTGTGTTTATTAACCCTTCTATGCTATTGTGAATGTTTTCATCCACTCTGGGGTGACGTTTCTGGAGACCGCAAAATATGTCCCGGGAGGTACGTGTTGGTGCAGTTTTTGCTTTCGCTAATCCGTGAGAAGCCGCTGTGCGTGCCGTTCGCATCCGCACTGTTGACGTGTAAAGCGACCATCGAGCGACTGTCTGTCCAACTGACTGGAAGATTGACTGGACGGCCCAGCCCCCCTCCTCCTCCCCTAAACTCAAACGACGATTTACAAAAGCCGTCCAGAAAAAGAAAAGCCCTCGTCCGATTTTGACCGAATTTTCGGATTTCACAGCATTCTCACCTTGTTACGAACTCGTTCGCTTTATTTTTTGGATTTTGTTTTTCGTCTTACCTTCCCTGGACTCAAACCCGGTCATCGCCGCAGCAGGCTCCTCCTCTGGGCCTCTGCTCCGCCGACGTAACACGACGAGCTAACCGGATAAACTGGTTGCGGATAAACTCCCTTCACACGGAGGAGGTGAGCCGTCAGCCGGCGAGCGCGTAGAGAAGCGGCGTCACACCGCCCCGTAGCGTTCGCTTGAAAAAAATATAATGCAGCCATATGTACCTCCGGCTATATAAATCGCGGTCTCCAGAAGCGTCTGCGGGGCTACGTTTTCAGAATGAGCTTGGGTTAACTTTCTGTGTTTCAGCAATTTTTTATTTTTTATTTTTTGGTGAAAACTTTAAGTTTTAACTTAAACTTAACAGTTTTAACTTAAACTTAAATGCAGTTTTACCTTAAAACTATTGGAGAGACACCTGTGCTCTCTCAAGTCCCATGGATGATGAAAAGGGAAGAGATGACAGTGAAGAATGAGAGAGACTGTGCCTGGCACTTCATGTTGTTGTTTTATTTATGCCTATACAGCAGTGTTTATGCTTTTAAGTTAACATTAAGCGCTCACTGGTTCCCACATCTTTCTTACATCAAACAATAATTTTGATAGCTATATATTTTAATTTCGCTTTCATTTTGAGGACTGTTTAACCTAACCTACCAATATTGATTTCTATAAAATATGGATGGATGGATGGATGGATGGATGGTAGCAAGCATTGTCCTGGCATGCATAGTACAGCATTTTAGTATACTTTTTAATTACATAGTATAATTATATAGTATAGCATAAATACATTGTATTATTCTGATCTGTATATGAAAGATTTACTAAAAGACAAATGTACATTGCTGTCATGTGTCCTGAGAAAAAGTAGGTAATGTGAACTAAAATGTTATCCCAACTAGCCTATAAAGCTGTCTGAACAAAGAGTTGCATATTAGACAGTGATTCAGAATTTTTCAGGCATCCTTTGCAAGCAATAAAAAATGATGTGGTTAGTGGCTTTATTCTGCAATCATCAACAAAACAAGATTAGCACATAACACGAGGAGAACAACTAAAGCAATGTTGTCTGCAAACTGTAAAACAATAAGCTGCAAACATTAACTCTATAATTTATTCATAGTGCTTTGCTTGGAATTTACTTGGAGTTCCTGAGTCAACACTCTTTCTCTCTCTCATATATATATATATATATATATATATATATATATATATATATATATATATATATATATATATATATATATGTATATGTGTGAGTGTGTGAAAGAGAGAACACAAAAAAAAAAAAAAAAAAAAAAATATGAGTATGTGTGAGTGTGTGTGTGTGTGTGTGTGTGTGTTTGTTTTTTTGTTTGTGTTTTTTTTTTTTTTTTTTTTTTTTTTTTTTTTTTTTTTTTTT